GATAGTGATCAACCAATGTACTCATGATGCTGATTGAAACATGACAACAAAAAAAAAACAAAGTACCAAGACTCTTTTAACTATACTATATATATATAGAGAGAGAGAAGATGATAAAAGAGAATTTTTTTTTTACTATCTATTCATATTAGTAAGGTTTTAAAATCTGTGAAAAAAAAATGAAAATCAAACATAAACTTCAAAATTCAATAGAAAAAAGAAAAGAATAGATATATGAAAATGAATTGATTTTTTGAAAAAAAAAAACTAACTAACAAGAGAAACATTGTAATAGAACAATATTTCAACTATCTGTTAAGAATGAACGAAAAGAAACAACGAAGAAAAAAAAAAGATAATTACATTAGAACGATGCACTCGATCGAAGGAAACAACAACTAATTGTATTTGCCTTTTACATCAAACAAACGTTTGTTAATGGAACAAAATAAAATGCTATAATCACAAGTATAGTCTATCATTTGTTCACTTTATGTTATATAGTACATACTTAAAAATACCTGTCTTTTTGCGGAAGATAGTATATAAATATTGATTTAATAATTATGAAAACAGCAAGTGCAAAATAAAAGGTACATTATAGAAAAAAACAAGAAAAGTTACATTCAATAATGCATTTTTTCTTTCTATTATTTCAATTGGACCCTGGATATGAATATCTCTCGAGTGTTTCAAATTATAAAAAAAAAAAAATTATTAACAGTTAATATGCTCAGATCATATAGTAAAGAATAGCGTATTCTAAAAAGATTTAAATTTAAAGAATAAAAATTTTCTATGAAGACTATTTAAAAACTATAAAATCTATTTTTGATTATTTGAAAAGAACATGATAATATCCTCATGAGAAAAAAATTAAATAACTTTGATTTAAATAAAATAAAATTAGAATTTTTCTAGACATTCTTTTTATATCATACAATAGTACTAATTAAGCAGAATATTCAATTAACAACATCTTTTCTATGTTTATTTTTTAAATTTCGATTATAATAACATTTCTAACGTAATTTTCGAATTTGTGAAATTTATTGTTTTGCTCATTACGATTCATTGAGTCTTTCTTTTATAGTCTTACAAATGAAACGATTTTCTTAAGTGATATTTATATGACAATTTAAAGTTTTGTTTACCTTTCAATTAAATATTCTTTCTACGAAAAATAGATTCCAACTTCAAAATTTTATCTGCGAATGACTATTCCATCTGTATGTCGATTAATAAAAGGAAAAATGATATATATATGTCGTGCCGAAGTTACACTCTTTGCCGAAGTTGTAACTTCGGCAATATAACGTTTGTCGAAGTTGTTAACAACTTCGACAAACGTTATATTGCCGAAGTTATAACTT